ACGGGCTTCCACCTGCCGCAGGGAGGCGGCCTGCAGGTCTAGCAGACGCAGAGTGTGTCCGGCCAGACTGCCAACTTGGTAGGCCACACTGGCCAGTGCCTGGGTGGTAAAGGCCATGGTCTCCTCCAGCGCCTTCCTCTTGTCTGTGGCCTGAAATACACACAGCTCTGGTCGGAGGCCAGCCCCTTCCGCTGGATCCTTGGCTGGGTGGGTAAGATGGGAGAGGGAGGACGTGGGGGCTGAACTGGGAGAAAGCGGTAACTCTAGATGTTTGACGTGGTTTCTGTGAGAATGAAGTTGTAGTAAGAGGGACTTGGGAACATTAGGAGAGCAAATCTGTTACCCTGAGGAATGGGGGTGCAAGGGGAGGGAAAGATCTTCCTCCTCAAAGACTCAAGCTGAGGATTGACCTGACCACCTCCAGAGGACCTTTGGGAATAAAGGGTGAATAGTAGAAAGGGAAGAGGAAGGCAATACTTTCAAACTTAAAAAAGGAACCAGTCGACGCCAGACCCCCTATCCCAGACCTTCTAATCAGAACTCTGGTAGGATGGGAGAGGAAGGACGTGGGAGTAAGGAGTAAGGTCGATGAACCTGTGCCTTTAAAAGCTCCCCAGGGGACTCTTGTTCTCCTGTTTTTCTCCAGTCTGCAGAGTAGTGTTTAGGAACCAATGATCTAGTCCATTTTATAGATCAGGAAATTGAAGCCCAGAGAAGAGTGACTTCATTCATTCCCTCCAGTAGCTTCCCAATACACTGAGAATAAAATCCAGACTTCCAACCGTGGCCTATATAGGGCCCCACAAGGCTGGCTCTGCTTTTCTCTCCCGGCTCTCCTCTACCACTCCCTCTCACTCCCCTCAAGCACACTGGCCATAAGGTTCCTTTTCCCAGATCAAGCTAAGATTGTTTCTACCTCAGGACCTTTGCACTTGCCATACTTCTTTCTAGAATCCTTCTTATTAAGTCTCAGCTCCTCAGAGACACATTTCATCACCACCTTAAGATTCTCCTAGCTTACTTCTATATTGACTCTCTACCGTATTTACCCTGTTCTCTTTTCCTCATAGCACTTAGCACTATCTATCAGAAATTATTTATCTATTTACTTCATTATCTATTTCCCCCCACATACTAAAATGTAAGCGCTGTGAGGGCAGAGAGCTTCTCTGTTTTACTCTGTATCCTACCCTGGAATAGTGCCCAACATACAGACAATATTTAATACATATGCATTTGTGAGTTAATTAATGAATTTAATGTGAACCCAAACACTTGCTGGGTATCTCCTTACTGCATGCCAGGCACCGTGCCAGGTGCTAGCCAGAGTCACACCGGCAGTCAGGGATGGAAGGGTGGGCAGGGAATGGCTGAAGACAGAAGAGGGTTTTTTGGGTTTTTTTTTTTTTTTTTCCAGTTCCAGATGAGACCATGGGGCTAAAGCAAAACTTCGGTCATTTGGTTCCCCAGGCAGCTTCCTCATCTTGGATGAGGAGCTGCTGCCGGTTCCGATCATGGAGCCACTGCCATTTAGCCTGTAGCTTTCTCTAGAGGGTAGGGGTGAGTCCAGGACAAATCTGGGCCAGGCCCCGTGCATGGACAGACAAGGCTGCACCACGCAGTCTCCTTGCTAAAGGCCCCTGGGTGCTCCCCAAGGTCTGTCAATGGAGAGCACACCTGGAACCTCTCAGAACAGGGTGCCTCCAATGGAGCCTGAGCCAGGCTAGGGTCAAAGGGCAGGCCCAGAACCTTCTGGGCAGCCCCTCCTTGTCTTTGTTCCAACAGCTAGATGCTCATTTGCGTGCAGTTTACATCTCATCAGCCTATGTAACCAAGAGCCTTGAAAAGGCAAAGAAATCAACTGAGGATGTTGAAACCAGAAAGGAGAGCAGGTCTTGTTCTAGCTCAAGATCTTTCTTTAATAGACTAGGAAACGAAGGCCCAGAACAAAGCGGTTACTACTCCTCCTTTGGTCTGCACCCAGATTTCCTAGCTCACCTCGCCGGCACTGTCCCCTGTTTGGCCTGCCACCTAGAACTGTCAGCCCAGGCAGGAAAATGTCTGCTTGGGTCCAGCTCCAGGAGGCTGCTGACCTTTGGTTTGGGGCTTGGCCCAAAGTTAGGTCCAGAGGTACAAAGGTATGAGATCCATTGTCATGGCTGACTGCTTATTCATCATGCAAATTACCTTGTCTGTAAACTCAATGGACTCTGACCGAGACCTTTGCAGTCTGACCCCAGCCTGCCCTCCCCCAATTCCCCATGGGTTTCCTGACACCTGGTTGGGGTGCTGGGAGGGGCTGGGGGAGGGACAGAGGGCATGGGAACCAGGCCTTGTTTAAGGGCAGTTCTGAGAAGTCATCCAAATCCTTTGCAGGCATTTGCTTCCCAGACCGAGATCCTCAGAGAGGCCAGGAAAGGTAACTAAGGTCAATTAGTTAGTGTTCTGCATGAAGGAAGCAGGAACCCAGGGACTCTGACCTGGGTGTTTTTGCAAGGGCTGCCTCGCCTTGCTAGAATTGACTTTCATTATCTCTATGTGCCTTTCATCCTTCCGGCAGAAGATGATGATGATGATGATGATGATGATGATGACAGTCATGGTAATAGTTTCCATGCATCCTGCCCCGCCTAAGGGACAGGCACTGGGCTAAGTGCTTTAACACATTCTCACATTTAACCCATGGGACCCCCGTGAGGAAAGGTGTAAGAATCAGAGGGTCACCTTGCCATGGGTCCTGTAGTTGCTAGGTGGCAGAGTTGGAAACTGGACTCAGGTCTTTGGGACCCCAAATCCTATGTGCACACTGTGCATCTGACAAACGAGAACCATCTGGAAGAGTCTGAAGGTGTGCAGAGGTTACTGAAGGAACGCGCAGAACCGCTTCTCTCCTTGTCCATAAGAGGAGCCTGCCTTCCAGCACCCTGAGACCGGGCTGGTTTACAAACCACGGTCCATCTCATCTACAAGTGAGTCACTCAACATCTACATGAACGGCAGTTATTCAACTAGAGGTTTGGGGGTGGGCTGGGAGTCAGAGTTCTGGGTTCGAATCCAGGTTCTGCCACCAGCTTAGAGACCTGGGAAAGTGACCTGATCTTTCCTTTTTTTTTTTTTTAAAGATTTTATTTATTTTTTTGACAGAGAGAGACATAGCGAGAGCAGGAACACAAGCAGGGGGAGTGGGAGAGGGAGAAGCAGGCTTCCCGCTGAGCAGGGAGCCCGACGCGGGGCTCGATCCCAGGACCCTGGGATCATGACCCGAGCCGAAGGCAGACGCTTAACAACTGAGCCACCCAGGCGCCCCGTGACCTGATCTTTCTGAACCTTGGCCTCCTGGCTGTGGAGTAGGAGTGGTTTTCTCCTCTCAGGACTGGGAGGAGGACTAAAAGAGGCCAAGTGAGGATAACATGCCTGCCCAAAGGAAGGGTGCAGAGCGTTCTCCCTGGTATCACCACTGACTCTCTTGAATCTGCCATTTTCCCATAAGCACTTGCTACTTCCATTATTTTTTTCAACGCTCCTACTGAGCCAGGAGCTTCCCAGGCCTGCCAGTGCAAAGAAACTGTCTTTAAGTCCTAGGGCCTGGCAGGGGAGGGGAAATGTGGAGAGGAGAGAGCCCGGCTTCAGAAGTCAGGAGGCTGATGCTCAACTCTGCCAAGTCCAAGCTGTATGACCTTGGACAAGTCACCTTGCCTCCCTGCACTGCTGGTTCTTCATCTATGAAAGAGGAATAATAATACTTGTCTCATGAGGTTATGAGGATTAATGGAAAAAACAGAGGTGCTCAATCATTGCTAAGTTTCCCTCGATCCTCTTCCCGTGATCCGAGAATCCACGTTCATGGTCCTGGAACAACTACACAGTTTAGGAGACTGCTCTAAAATCTTGTGCTGGTGGACTGCTCCCAGCCATCATGCTGTCCATGCCCCTGTCTCTGCGCCAGACCCAGCCTAGCCTGATGTCTCTCCACTCTCGCTCAAATATCAGGGAAAGGATTCTCCCCCTGGTGCCTCTCAAGTTCACGACACTCTTCGGGAGGTTCTCAAGTCTCACCCAGAGTCAGCGTGCACGTGATGATGCTGGCATTTGTGTGAGGACAAGTCTGGGCCCCTGCATCTGCACGGGACCCAGGAAGCAGACGAATGTCGGGTGAGGCTTGCTGACAGGACGGAACAGTGCGGCCTGCCCGGGCGTCTCTGGGGCTCCGGGAGAGGGAAGGGGCACGGTGGGGCTGGGTAGCATGGGGTCAGGGCTGAAGTTTGGGGGGGACTGGAATGGAGCTGAGGCCTGGGGTGGAGGCTTTCCCAGGTGGGCCCAGGACGAGCACCCGTCAGGATGGCTCTCACGGTCCTGCCTTGAAGGTGGGCTCCGGGGGGGGGCCAGGGTGTCAGGGCGGGTGCCCATGCTGCCTACCTGCACGTAGTTGTCCACGCAGTAGTCCGCGACCCGCAACAGGGAGCTGTGGTTGCCCCGCAGAGCCTCCCGGCCCGTGGGGATCTCGAACTCCTGCAGCTGCTGAAGCTCCGACATGGCCCCCCGCCTCTGGCTGGCTCCCCAGGGAGCCCGCTGGTTTTGTGCCTCACCCTGCTCTTGATTGGTCGCTCTGTCTTCCCCCTCTCACCGCTTTTGGTTTCCTCTCAGTGAGAGACCCAAACCTGCTTGCAAAGGGCAGGCAGGCTCATTCCGGGACAAGAGGAAGTCAGTCTCCGCTCCCTGGGCCTGCGCCTCTCTACCCCCTGCCCAGAGGAAGGGGGAAGCCAGGGGCCCCTGTGGGGGCCCAGTCCCCCAATCCCTCCCAGCAGAGGAAGCCAAGGTCGGGGGGCTGTGATTGCTCCCTGGGCCTGGAGAGGAAACTGTTTGGGGGTTGGGGAATGGGGTGGGAGACTGAGGAGGAAGGGGGTTGGCCTGCTCTGGGTGGGCGGTGGAAGCGGATTTTCCACTCATGGAAGGGGAGGAAAGGGCAGAGGGTGGGGGCTTCCTTGGGAAGCTCAGGGATGAGTCACCAAGGGCCCGGGGAGTGGAGGGTGGGTAGGATATGGAGACCAGTCGTGCCGGGCGCTGTAGGGTAGCGCAGCAACCATGGAAACCAGCCAAGGCAGCAGCCAGAGGAATCAGCTCAGACAGCAGGAAGACACATCCAGAGGTCCCCTGAGAAGTGTGAGCAAGCCTCGGAAGGGCTGTGTGTGAAGAAGCCCTGGTGCACATGCTCTGTGCCTGGTGGAGGTAAGCCCAGCCGTAGCGCCAGGGATTCGGATTAGACAACAGCAAGGAATTGGCTTTGAGAAGCACCAGGTTCAAGTTCCAGGTTAACTGGTCGGTCTTAGGAAGCAGCGGTGGACCGAGCACCGAGCTGGCCTCTAGAGGCCTGTGCTCTCCATCCTGTATTTACAGCACAGTTGGACTAGAAACCTCCAGGCTCCTGTCCTGATCCTAAATTCTTCGCGCTCCCAGCTGTGAGTGGGACTCGGACCCTGGAGTGGGGGAGTCAGGATGGGCTCCAGGCCTCCTCCCAGCCACTTCCAGAGCCCCTCCTGTCGACCTAGAGACAGGACAAAAAGAGGATCCCTAACTGACCGTATTGATCTCTTAAGCATCTGCTTCTTGGGAGGGTCCCCTTGCCATGGGACAGGTGTCAGCCTGAGCAGGAGCTCAGTGTCTATTTTTTTTTTTTAAAGATTTTATTTATTTATTTGAGAGAGGGAATGAGAGACAGACAGCAGGAGAGGGAGGAGGGTCAGAGGGAGAAGCAGACTCCCT